AACAATACATTTTGTGATGAGGAAAGAAAGGCAGGTAGTCTTTTGGCTCTGAGAATGCATGAAAGACAGATCCATGTAGAATTGTCAGTATAGACCTCAACACTCAGAAGAGCTAAATTCAATGATACAGAATGTCACTCCTTGAAGAAGAAAAAGGTAAAAGGGAAAGCTGATATGTTTGTCCTCAAGACTGTATGTGTTGTTTCCTTTCATTTATATTTCATTTTTCTTGAATTCCCAGTTTTTCATTCCAGCACACATAGAAAGACAGTGTTTTGAATAGAAGCAAGAGGAAGTATTTCTTTAGTTTTGTTTAGAACTATATTTTTTAGAAAATTTCTAATTACACCTATAAAATTATGAGCAAAACAGGATTGCTATAGATTTCAGCAATGAGAGGCTTGTTGACTAAATGGGTTGAAATGATGAAGGAAGGAAAGGTTTCTGGTGTGCAGCTTAACCAATCTCTTAATCATAACTTTTCCAAACTTTGACCAATCAAAATTCTCATTCCACAGCTCATCCTGTATATCTGTGTTAATGTACTTATTTTTTAAAAAAATTTCTAACCTAGCTGATTAAATATTTAAACCATTATAGAAGGTATGTGAACATGACATCATCTTCCTATACCCCAACCATGTTGGGAAAATTCCAGTAAGATGAGTCAGTGTGATAGCCCCTTTGGGTTGATTTTATTATTTGTATTTCTTGATTATTCTATTGCTGCAGTGATTAGGATTTCAGGCAATGAGCTAAAACGATATATTACTAGACTGGCAGTCAATCAGATCACTATCACTTCAAACATCATTTAAGAAGATCTACATTTTTTATTATTTATATAGCTCCATAGTTCATGGTGCTACATAGAACAAATCAAAGACAGATTCCTGCCCCCTAAGAGCTTACAGTCTAGGCAAGTACAAGAACAACAGGAGAAGATAACACAGGCAGGGGACAGAGAGGGGTAGTAAATGAAAATAAAGACAATTAGATTACAGTCACATGAAAAGCTAATATTTTTATCTTGGTGGATACAAACTGGGGAGATGAGGTGTTTGAGTAACTTTATTTTTAATTAGAACTATTTTTAAAGGAAGGTCAGAAGAAAAGGGCTTTAAAAATAAATTTCATACTGTCAGAGGTGCCTGTAGGAAGGCAGAGAGGTAAGACTGGAAGAGAACAGGACACTAGCATGTTTGAAGTTGGAAAGCAATGACCTTCTATGTAAGAGAAGCCAACCTCAGCAACTCTTTGTTTTCCAATACATCCTTGAAATTCTGACAGAAACACAATTGCTTCCGTACACCCAGTTCTGCCTTAGATATTATATCTGTACATATTTGGGGCTGTATTGGATAAAACCTTGATTGCTGTTAAATAGAAGCTCTCACACTTCTTTCAAAGGAGTATTTCAGTTATCATATTTTGTGTTTGTTGATGTATTTGGAGACTAAGTGAAGTTGAATCTGAAGTGCTTCCCATTTTTCTAATATTCTTAACATCAAAACAATAGAACATTATTTTATAGCATAATGTTTTACATCTTAGTATGATATTACCTCTGCTCATGATCCCTTTTCCCTGAAAATATTTTTATTTTGTAGAGTATTAGGGCATTTCTCCTATTGTGGCTTTGGATTTTGGCACAATATGTTTCCTTCCCTGATAAAGTACGTTTTTTAAATTCTGAAATATTAACAAGTTAGTGTAGCAGGACTAAACTGTGTTATTTTGGGTGTTGTGAACACTCTATGGATGAAATCAGGAAAGATTAATAATCAGAGTCTCGAGAAATAATAAAATGAAAGAAAAGGTTATTTCAAATCTATACTGAATTCTTCAACAGAAAATTGAGACAGAAATTTCAGAGAGAAATATCGCATTTAAAATCTGCCAGATACTCCCTGTATACGTCTGTACTTCTGTTTATATAAAAGGAGAATACCATTAAAAAGGCCTGCTGATGTCTATAATTGGTCAAATCCTCATTCACTGTAAAGGACCAGACATCTCTTGATTTCATCCAACCATTTCGCTCATTATTTTCACTACCAGTCCTCCACAAATTACATTTATCAACAACATAAAAGGGGTTTTGTCCTTTTTTTTCTAGTTATCTATTGCTCTACAACCATGCTGAGGCAACCTGAAGATATAAATAGTGTGTCTTTTGTGTCTTAAAGATGTCTATTTTCATTGAAACAGACGGGGAAAAAAGTCCTGTTCAATTTTTACCTCCAATTGTCATCCACCAGGCAGCGCCATTTCACTGAGCTATAACTGCTTTAAAATTCTTCTCTAGAGTGACATTTAAGATCAGTCAGAGAAGCACCCACCATCCTGTCCTTCCTGAGAAATCAGCAGACTAATTAAGCTGTTTTATGAGACCAGATAAAGCAGTTATACATGGATTCTGAATCTTCGTGGGCCAGATCCTCTTTTGATTTTTGGTGGGAAGCTTTGGTGGGAAGCTCCATCAGTTTTAATGACAGTACAGAAATTTATTCTGCATGAAAATTTTTTAATATTGGGGTAAGCCTTTCAGAGGCCTTTCCATACAAAGAATTTTTCTTCAGAATTGAGGATTTTTTTCACAGCAGTAAAAAGAAAATTAAGATTTTGAAGATTTTGAAGAAATTTAAATAAATTGGGTTTTTTCAAGTACAAAACTATCAGTAGTATTTTCTACTCTTTTGGGGGTCAGGCCTTTATTAGTCAATTTTCTGTAACTGTCTTAATACAGAAATAATTACTAATGCACAACAGAGTAACAACATGAGTTAGTGTATGATTGTTGAAAAAAAACTCATTTCACTACTGTGAATCTGTGGAGCCATGCATTTCTAGTCTTGATCTTTAATACAAATCTCCAGTTACTTTACCTATTTCCCTCAATAAAAGAAGGCTGAAATTCTGACCAAAATCTTAATTAACCTATACTACCTCCATGACAGAAGTTTTGTTCCTTGGGGAACTTTGACCCAATGAAATATTTGGGACATATCCTGCATTCACTGTTACTTTGGCTCACAAAAAGCTTAATGAGAACTAGTCTTGAGCATTAAGGTGAGAATGAAATCCTGCTTATTTCAACATCCTCAATGGAGAAAAGAACAGTATGTTTGAATATAATACAGCATTTTATTACATGATTTTACAAATTTTATTGTAAATCATCAATCAAATGCAATAGCCAATTTTTTCCATTCCAAGCCATCATAATTAGGAGTTTTCATTGTGTTATGACAGTTACTCTTTTCCCCTTTGTGTTTTAAAGAATTAACTTAAATATAAATTATGTACGTTTACTCATTTCCAGAAAAATTGCTTAAAGTGTTTTTATCTTCTTTATACTTCAGACAAAGATAACCTGTTCTTTGTTATCACATAAATGGGAATGAAACTCACAAATATAAGAGAATTTGCTTTCTCAGTCCCTGCTCACAATGGAAATGGCCAGCTCAATCTCTATGAAGATTTATGATAACTGGGTAGTAGACACAAACCTCCCATTCACCCCCAAATTTCATTATATACTTTCTACAGTTTGGATTATATATTTTATATTTCTGTGCCATCATCTTCACTCACCGATGACATTATTTATGATTATTTCCATGTTTTGGGAGTATATTTTATGGTCTTGGGGTTTAAGGTAAATTTTTTTTCCATGTAAAGACCATCTTAATAATCTTTTTTGGTTGGCATAACATTCCTACATAGTCCATACTATACATTTCTTGTTGAGATACAAATAAATTTACAGTAGACAGAGGTGCAAGATTCATCATCTTTAGGGCAGCATTTCAAAATGTTATGTCCAGGAACTCACCACATTCAGGACATAAAATTTAGCTTTAAAGCAGCTAAGAGCCAAATCCTGCAAATGTTATCACAATGTGCTGTAATGGCTTCTGTCAGAAATCCCAGCAACTCTCTTGTCACAAATTTAGTGGCAAGACTCATCAGGATAGGGCACTAAGCTGAAGCTAAGTACCGGTACTGACACAAAGTACTGCACATATGTTGCTCAAATCACGCAACAAAACCAAACCAACTAAAATTGACATAAACTTAATGCTTTCTTTTTTTTTCTTTTTTTTTTTTTTTTCATTTTGTGCATTGGATTCAAACAGCAAACTGAGTGCATATTAACTTCTATCACAATGTGGTCAAGAGGTCTGTGTCTTTTACCATTTACACACAATTGTTCATGACAACATGTTATCAGCTCAGTGGAAACCAGGGGTGTAGCATGGTAAGCAGTGGTGGTAGTGCACCTATTTTTTTATATTATATAACTTGAAAATATGTCTCTTCTAAGATTCCTTTTTCATGATAAAAATAGTTTTCACCAAACGTTGGTGGTGCGCACGCACTACCACTCATGCTTGGCATCACACCCCTGATGGAAACACATGTTCTTATTTTGTTGATAAAAAGTATTACAAAAATTTCCATACAAAAACTATTTTCATAGAAATCTTGCATTTCCACAAATAAACCTGAACGTTTTTTTTTTTGGAAAAAAAAACTGCTCAAGAATATTGTTCATTTAGTACTGTGACTGTATTGAAAAATGCAGTCCTCCTATAAGTTCTTGACATTCAATTCTTTTAGGTGACCCATCCCTCTTCCAACATTAGAGAGAATTGCTCAGGCTCCATTGAGTTCAATTAGTAGCAGGAACAAGTGTTTCAAAACCCATTCAGGCTAAAATGCAAGCCCTCTATGTGTGAAATACACTGCTTCCCACCCCCCTCCCTCTTATCACAATTGTAGAAAAGAAAATCAATTGCTTATATCTAAAGTTTGTAAGATACATTCCTTTGTAGTAAGGAAAGTTTCATTCATCTAAAAATTGGGTCAAAATTCTGGAAATATTTTTTGTTGGCTTTTTAGATCAAAGTTCCAACCCAGCTAAATTTTTTTTTTGTAATTATTATTTATTTACTTAGTTCAGTGTCACAAACAGTCAAAAAAAACCAAAAAAAGGTGAGCATCCTTATATTTATTCTTCTATTCATGGGATTCATGTTTCTTCACTTTTAACATTTCTTGGATCCAGGAAGATCATGTCACCTTGTCCAGATGGTAGTTTCAGTCTACCAGCAGTTACCAACTTTTCGGTGCTGGGAAGTTCAGAAGAACATATGGTTTCTTGTTCCACTACAGTTCTGAGACATTACTTTTACTAGACTCCTTCTGTGGTTTGTGTCATCTTGGGCATTTATTCTCCCTTTTCTGGCAACCGTTGAACTTCAAAAGGAACCTGCAACTTCTCACTGAGACTGCATTTGAAACCAGCCACAAAACTCACATGGAACATTCATTCATTCAGAATGATGGAAACCCATGACAAACAGTGTAACCCTGCATAACTTGGTTGATCCATGATGCTTGTGATTCGAGTCTGGCCATTGCAACTGCTGAGATCACAGAGTCTCTAGTTCATAGACACAGCGGCATGAGGTAACTCATTTTATTTTGCACTTGTTGCATATTTCCACAGGAAACATTCTCGCAAGGTTGTTTGGAAAAAAGACGACAGTTTGTGCTTGGGGTATTTGGCTTCCCAGCTCTATGCCATGGTTTCTTTGCCTGGCAACCTTCTGTCGTTAAATGTGTGCATGTTGATAACTTCTTCTGTTTTCACAATAACGGGGGCCTGTGGCTTGTGTTTCAATCGACGCTGACACTTCAGAGACATCCTTAGCTCCTCTACCATGGCACTACAGAAGGACCTCTACAGAGGGAAACAGAGGAACAAGAAAAAGAAATAGCTGTAAGAAATTACTAACTGCAATGTCTAGAAGCAGATTCACTATACCGGCACACACTTGTCATTCTTTGCTTTGTTCCAGTCTGAAGCTCAAAACAAATTTCTGTCCTTGTTATATGCATCATTATATATGCATATTATTATTTAATAATAACTAAAATTACTTATCGAACAGTGTAAAAATCACCTTGCCTGTGCAATTGTTTTTCTGGTAGGTATTAGGTCTAGTTGCATATGTCACATAAAACTACTTCGAGCAGATTTTCTGTCAACATGTTAGCTTTATAGTACAGTATCCAAATGTTACATATCTGTTGGGCATTCAGCACAATCTCCTTAGCTTACTTTATAATCAAAATAATAATTGCATTTCCATGGAAATAAAGTGAGAGTTCTTCTAAAACATAAGGTTTTAGTATAGGGAGTTTACCTGAATTCATCTTTAAATATTGTTAAAATCCAGATCTATGACTGAAAACTGATATTTACTCCATAATCTATAATATAGATAGATTTCTGTATATAAACACTTATACCACTACTGATTATCATTTATAGATTATGTGTTTGCAAAAAGAAACAAAACAGCAATTCAGTTTCATTGATCTTCATGAAAAGTGTATTATTAAAAAAAGTTTATTAACATATTTATATCAAATCCTCAAAGCCCTTTTTCCAGTTTGCAGTGCAAGCAATTTGAAAAGTAAAATAAAATCTCCCTATTCCCTCAGTCTGACTGAATTCTCCACTGCTAATGGTGTGCTGAGCAATTAACCTTCTCTCAGTGTGAGAAGGGGAGTATCCAATGACATATGGTAGTAAGAAAAAAAGGCCTCACTTTTGAGCTCTGCATCATAATTTAACTTAAACATTTTCCAGGTAATGGAGAAATACACTAACTAAATAACCCATCCCAGAAGCTGAGATGTTAAGCCAAGCCTCTAGCAACTGCTCTCAGCCAAATGAAATTTGAGATATGGTCTAACCCTTTTCATTTTTCTCACTTAATAACTAATCCCCAGGCCAGGGACATGATCAGGGAAAAAAAGGCAAACGAACAAATGAAAAACAAACAAACAACCTATTGAACAATAAGTAAAAAAGTCAAAGCACCTAGAATTACTCTAACTACCTCATGACCATTTTTTGATTTTGTTTGATTAGTGGTAGTCAACATATAATTGTCTCATTTAGCTTTCAAATAAATATCCTGCTTTATTTATTTATGTTAAATCTTCATTATTATACAAACCTGTAGCTTGGAGATTAGATCCAGAAAATATTTAAACATCACACCCAACCTAGTTCACTGAGAACCCATCTTGAAGCTGCATTCATATAAATCTGCATTCAGCTTCCAACCTCCAGGGCTGAAAGCAGTAAGACGCTCAGCTCTCCCCATTAAAATTTGCAGCTTTGTCATTTGGCAATAGTAGAAATTCTGTGAAGAACACTGGTGCTTGGCTTGGTTGTGGACCCTGTTAGAATTCACATTCCAGTTCTCCATGCATGGTTATCAATCCAATAGATATGCTCTGAAAGGACCTAAGCCAAGTTCCTTAAAAGGTGTGGCAACTGCTAAAGAAGAATATGTGGCAGATATCCTTTTCTTTGGTGCAGACAGCAATCATCTGGAGAATTATGGCTGAACATGAGTCACATTTAAGAATGTCAATATAATAGCATCTTCTGCCTGAGAGACTTAAGCTTGTGTCTCAGTAAACAGCTATAACCTACAGGCATTAGACCTGTAGGTTACTTGCAGTTTCTGCCTGCTCATCCTGTTCCACTTGGCACGGTAGCAGTTAACCAAGGCATAGGGAGAGAAAGGGAGACAGGGAAAACATGAGCTATTCTGTTGATTAGGGATGAGAGCACACAGCAGCAGAGGAAGGGCTTCAGCAGTGGTTCCTATTTCTCTGAAAACTGCAATGGTTTTACATTAAATTCCATTTTGAGCATGTGCAAATATGAGTTGTCTTAATTAGGAATTAGAGCTGAGCATGAATCCAACAAAGCCTGAACAAATGCCCTCTTCCCTAATCCTTTGCATGAATAAGGAAATGGGCAGGTAGGAATTGAAGGAAACTATAATCTTACTCTGGGTGTGACACACTTCCTTTGAAGCACTTCTTTCTCCTGCTGTTTGAAACAAAGGAATAATGCCTGCTCAACTCACAGCAGAAATTATTTTACCACCTACAACTAAGAAAAGCTTAAGTTGTGAATCCAAAGGAGAAGAAGGCATATTTCTGTGGTTCACAGTCAAGTACATTTCCTTCAGAGCCAAAAGTTTGGCATTTCTGGCTGAAGTGAGCTCTGCAATGTGCACTGGGTTGACATACAAGACAGCTTTCTTTGTGTGAATGAGGTGGCTAAAATTCCTGATTGAATGGTCTGAATTTAATATGTGAGATCTTAATGCATAAGGTATCTTAGCTGACCATGGTGCAGAAAGTAGAAAACTGTACCTTCTTATCCTGCTATGCTTTAAAAGAAAATATTCAATTCTCTTAGATTTTCCCTTTTATCTAATAAAGTGCTGTTGCTTAACATCAAAACTGCCATTATGATTCTGAAATTGAAATCAACCCTGAAATATTTTAAAAGGGCAAGATTTAATTTAGTATTCCCTAATGGCTTACAGGCTAAATTGCTAAGGCTTGAAGATCTTGGCATTTTCACTGTGTGAGGAACCTAGCATATAACTCAGGAATTTCATAGGGAATACATTAAGAAGTAAATGGTGCAACTCAGCACTACACCACTTGTAGCCATGATATGGCTCTCACCTCTGGAATTAAAGACCTAGCTAAAGCATTCTGAGGAACAAAATCCTTCTAAATTTTAAAATTATGCATTAGCTTTTAAAACTTTCAAGATTGTGTTCTTTGTATTTTTTTTTTGCCAAGGCGTCTAAGAAGATTGCCAAATTAGAACAGATCCTTTTCAAGGGGAATCAATCCACCAAAACCTTTGCAAAATCTGAAAAGGGTATAAATTTTTAGGCAACACCAGTAGGAAATAGATTACAACCAACATCCAAGAGGTGAAAAGATACATGGCAAAATTCTGAAATACCCTGAAAATAATATCTCAAGAAACTTGAAAACATATTTTATCTGAGAATTTTACCTGGATGTTAAAACTTATTAAAAGGGAAATGTTTTAATGACTGACAGTCTTAATAAAGCAGGGGCCATAACTTTGAGAATTATTTTATATATTCTTCCATTCTATGTTTTCAACTTATTTTTTATAAATTTTTTATTTTATCTTGTATGTGCACACGGGAATAAAAATATTGTTTCTGATTAAGAGTATTGCTACATATCTTCTGTTTGTTTGTTTGCTTGTTTCAAATTTCACTCACTGAAATAGGATATATTTTAAAAATATCATTTCAAGGCTATGTAAGAGTTCATGATCCAGATCTTTTTTCTTCTTTGGGTTCTATCTGAGAAATATAAGGAAGAGTTTTCACACATATCAAAAAAGTAATATTCAATAAATTTTAGAAAGGATTTATGGTTTACTTTTTTACATTGAAATTAATTTTTTTTTGGTCTAATTTCAATTCCAATCTCTGTAGTCTCCATTTTTTATACTGTTAAACTTTGTGTTCTTTCAGTGTGAGGATACAGTTTTTTGAATAATAAGACATGAAAACAAGAAGCATCTCAAGAGTATTTTTTTTGTGACAGATAGAAGACATTTTCATATATGATTTTACAAAAGAAAAACCAGTGTCTTGATCCTTGCTGTTCAACTGCTAAGGGAAAACAACATAATGTTTACAGAACTGAAAGGCTACATTTCAAAACTGTTGTCCATCATGGAATTGAGCACTTTAGTATATTTCACAAGACTCTCCATTTAATTCAAAGAAAATAACCTCGTGCTCCCAACTTACCTTCCACACTGCAGGCATGTTACAAGAACATCAGTTTTTATCGATTTTTCACTAACCCTTACAAAATCTTAAGTTGTTTTCTTAAATGCTGCCAGAAAGTAAATGCAGCCTCCAAGTCATCTTAGATATAATCAAATGCTAGAAGAACAACTCTCTAAACCATAGTGCACATAAGTGCATCTGTTTTGTTGCAGCATATCATGATAAAACATTACAAAAGAAGTGTACAGAAGATCATTTTAATCAGAACTGTAGTTCTTACCCTTCGAACACACAACAATTCTGAAAAAAGTTCATATCCTTAAAATGAATAAAGAAGTAACTGACACCTCTGACATTCTTTGCCATAGCTGACATCTCACAAGTCATGGAGAATCAAGATGAGAATTTTGCAAAATGTTACCACTGCTTACAAGCTGATTAGACAGCTTATGCATGGCTTTACTGCATGAGAAAAAATAAATGTGGTTTTGCACGTGTATTAATATATAAGGTAGATAACACACTGCTTTCATTATTTTGCTTTATGGGAATTTAGAAAGGTATTTACAAATCATAATAGCATTTGTTAGACGCATAATTATGAGACTATTACCATAGATTTTTCTTTTAATAGCCTAAAAAGAGCAATGGGAAGAGAGAACAGCATGCCTACACCACTCTAAACTTTCTGATTTAAGTGATTATCATTCAGTGTGTTTTAAATTTTAAAAAGTCTCCAATTACCAGTTTATATTTTTCCCTTCTTTTTGGCACATAATATAAAGATGACTGTCAGCATTCAATGGAAGCATCTAAGATTTACTGAGAAGTTCATTACTTCCAGTCTTGTCTGTCAGACATTATTTGAAGATTTGTTTAATTATCTTAAAGCAGTAACAGCATTAATCCTGTATTGTCTTGTTATGGGTTGTTGTTCTAGCATCCAGGAGGACACAGCCATCAAACTGCTTTTTGTCTTGAAGTCAGCTGAGAATGAATGCACAGTCTTACCCTGACTCTCCTTCCTAATCACTTTCTGATTCCTATGCCACTCCTTCAGGGATTTTAA